ACTTAATCTGGTCTATTCTGTCTAACTTACGCACTAACAATTCTGTCTATTTATAAACCTATTCCTGTGTATGCTTTAATATTCAAAAAGAGGTAAAAGTAGTTATAGATTTTTCGAAATTAGAAAAAATACACAGCTAAAGGCAAGAAAATATTATTTATTAATATACACTAAAGCTGTAAGAATTTTGTTCATTTCATATATTTGAGCGGGCCGAAAAACGCTCTTTACCATCTTTTGACGGGAGATGCACTAATATCTCACCGACACTTTACGACATCGTCTATTGATATAGAAGAAGTTTTGCTTGCCGTATCGGTGAGAACCAGCCCCTGGACAGCCCACCGGATGAAGGGTAGGCCCAGAAACCGGTTGTGGGAGTGGAGCTTGGTTCCCCCCTTTACGACAAGCAAAACAATTTTCTTTTTACTTTTTATTTTTTTTTAATTTTTTCTCTACTTTCGATTTTTCGAAATTAGAAAAAATACACAGCTAAAGGCAAGAAAATATTATTTATTAATATACACTAAAGCTGTAGAATTTTGTTCATTTCATATATTTGAGCGGGCCGAAAAACGCTCTTTACTATCTTTTGACGGGAGATGCACTAATACCTCACCGACACTTTACGACATCGTCTGTTGATATAGAAGAAGTTTTGCTTGCCGTATCGGTGAGAACCAGCCCCTGGACAGCCCACCTAATGAAGGGTAGGTCCAGAAACCGGTTGTGGGAGTGGAGCTTGGTTCCCCCCTTTACGACAAGCAAAACAATTTTCTTTTTACTTTTTATTTTTTTTTTATTTTTTCTCTACTTTCGATTTTTCGAAATTAGAAAAAATACACAGCTAAAGGCAAGAAAATATTATTTATTAATATACACTAAAGCTGTAAGAATTTTGTTCATTTCATATATTTGAGCGGGCCGAAAAACGCTCTTTACCATCTTTTGACGGGAGATGCACTAATATCTCACCGACACTTTACGACATCGTCTGTTGATATAGAAGAAGTTTTGCTTGCCGTATCGGTGAGAACCATGGTACAAAGAATACAAGGTATGATCGATAGCGGCTCCAATTTCGTTCAGTTCGCGCATACCACCTGTGACGTCACTAGGAAAATAATGAATAAATAAAAAATAAAGAAAGTTGACAGGAGATCTGCATTTTTTGGGGTTATGGTTAAGAATTGTTTATTTTTAAGGCTTTTTAGTTCGTTTAATTTAATAATTACTAAAACCAGCAGTTCCAAAAATATATTTAAAAATAATAATTATCTATTAACACGGATTTGGACGATACGTAAGAATACTAAATTTATTTCTATATTCGGTATAAAATTGTTTATTAGGTTTTTAGTTTGTGATGTTCATGGTAAATAATTTTCATTTTCATTGCCTCTGAATTCACATGAGGACAGAGTTGAGGATATCTATGGAAAAGTAACCACAAGAGGAATTGTTACATCATTTAAAAAATGTTGGGAAGTTTATTGTTTCCCATCGAGAAGTAGAAAATGCCAATGCAGATGAACGTATTGTAATTGTGATAGAAGTAATTCTAAGGGTGAAGTTTATTATAATTAGTGGAAGTAATACCAAGGGTGAAGTTTATTATAATTAGTGACTTCTGCTTCTTTTTATATGTAGAAGTTTCTGGTTTTGAGAATAAATCGGTTGAACGACACCCAAAATTTAAAGGAAGTATTTGCATACCCAGAATATGCCCATCAAGGATTATATAGCTCAAATTTCCTTTAATGGTAGGCAATTATTCAATGCAAATTAACTTTTTAAGTGACTGAAATATTAAATAGTTTACAATATGGTATATCACTAAAAATATATTACTTTTAGGTACAATTAGGGCCCGATACATTTCAAAAAGTAGAATATTATTTTATATTAAATGAGGTATTGTACTAACAATCAATTTATATTAATAACGGAGATTAAAAAATAACAGAATAAATAGTTCTTTTTTTTTATACTACAAAAATAAACTATAGAATACAACAGTATTTAAAAAAATAAATAAAAGTTATGTCCCGGCCGAGATTCGAACTCCGGTCTCTCGTTTCCTAGCCCGACTCCTTACGCACTGCTCCACAGTAACTTGCTTGTCGATAAATCAATGACGGTATATAAACAAAAAACAGGTTTATAACAATATCTTGACGATTTGAACTGGCGCGCGGAGCGTGCTGACCAATAGCGCCTGTTATCACCTGTGACGTAGCGACCAACCTGCGCAATATCATACCTTGTATTCTTTGTACCATGGGTGAGAACCAGCCCCTGGACAGCCCACCTGATGAAGGGTAGGCCCAGAAACCGGTTGTGGGAGTGGAGCTTGGTTCCCCCCTTTACGACAAGCAAAACAATTTTCTTTTTACTTTTTATTTTTTTTAATTTTTTTTCATTTATTATATATATATATATATATATATATATATATATATATATATATATATATATATATATATATATATATATATATATATATATATATATATATATATATATATATATATATATATATATATATAATAAATATTAATTAATAATTTATATATATATATATATATATATATATATATATATATATATATATATATATATATATATATATATATATATATATATATATATATATATCATTGACATAAATGAAACATGTTGACTAAATAGTTATTAGACTGAAATCATAAATTTGAAATGTTTTTGTGCCAAAAGTTCAACAGAAACTGTTTTATCATCATTTTTTGCAGAAAAATTGATGATTAATTTAAAAAAATAAAAATTTCCCTCGAAATTTCCCAAATTTATTATTTCAGTGAAATAACTATCTACTCAACGTGTTTATTTTTCGTCAATAATGACATGTATTGGCTATTTCGATTCTAAATATCTTAAGAACGGTTGCTTGTAGCGATTTTTACAAGGAGATATTTTTTACGTAAAAAGTTACAAAGATGTATATTTTTTCGCTCGGTAGTTTTATACAGGTATGGACAAAAAGTTATTACGCTTCAAAACAGTTAAAACACATGTAGTTGGCGCCCTCTACTAGTAGGAGTCATATTGACATCATAATCAAATTTTTCATGTCAAAAAACTCCCAGGCACCAATTTTCATCCAAATATTGACTTTACTTCAGAAATTATTTGGAAAAAATCGAAATAAAAATGAAACTTCTACACCCTGTATCTCTGAGAGTAAGCATTTTAGGACATATATTTATACGAACTTTTTTACTTATTTTTATCTACAGAATACTATCTATACTATAAATATTTTCTTTTAACCAAAAATTTTAGAAAACAAAAATGAATTAATTATAAATATATAAACAATTATTATTTGCGTCAACAGAACTGATCTCCTTGCTGCACTTAAGGGACATAAAAGACCATTACTACCACTCTCCCATTCAAAATATTCAAATAAGGTTGCGATGAGTTTTTCGCAACGGGCTGTTGAACTGCTCGGCATCTTATACAGGGTGGGTCAAATTGAACGCTTTTAAAGGGAAACACCCTTTTCTACAGGGGATAGACGAAAACTAATATCGGTGTCTGGAGCTCAATTTTTATTAAAAACATGTTTGTGAAAACCGTACATCAATATCTGTTGCCGCTTAGGAGTTACGGGGTATTAGGTTAGATTGTAACTTTTAACTTTGACTAGGTTAACGATTTCCGCGAGAAATGTTCATAAACGGTCCCATCTGTCCAACAGAAGACGGTCGACATGTCGGCAAGTCGAACACCTGTAGCAAAATCTCATGTCTTGGTTTGCTATTTATTTTTATTAATATTAGATATATGTAGAAAGGTATATGTATATACATATATGTAGCAGGTATATGTGGAAAGGTAATGTGCATAATTTATTTTTTTTTTTGAAATGTACAGGGTGTGTCAGAACTAAGATCCACACCAAAGTTATATTTTCTCTTATGAAACATCCGGTATTTTATTTTATTTTTGGATGCTTGGACATAAAATAAGGCATTTATTACAGGGTTTAATATGTTTAAAGGCTTTGGTTTTTGAGATATATTTAAATATGTATGCTATAATAAAAAAAATTTCAACACCTTGTACATTACTTAGTTAATTGTGCTGACTTTCAAGCCAGAGAAATAAACTTTACTAAAAAAATTTATTGCTTCCTTAAATGTGTACAGGGGTATCAAAAATTGCTGGTCTATTATAAATATTTATTTTACATAAAAACTTTGTTATTTCAAATACAACACTAAGTATTTTTTTAATAAGTCGAAGCAGATTTAAATGCTCTTTCAAACTATATTAGGATTTCCTATACCTCTCTGACTCAGATTTTGAATAAAAAGCGATTTTTCACTAAAATTGTAATCAAGATGGCTGGTGTCGCCAAAGCATTTAAACATATTAAACCCTTATAATAAATGCCTTATTTTATGCCCAATAATCCAAAAATAAAATAAAATACCGGGTGTTTCTTAAGAAAAAATATAACTTTGGTGTGTATCTTAGTTCTGACACACCCTGTACATTTGGAAATAATTCTAAATTATGGACATTGCCTCTCTACATATACCTATAAAAAAAATTGGGTCTACATCTTCCCGTTTTCATATAGTCAACCGAGGCGAATGAGGTGCGCCACCCTGTATTTTACTGTTTTATTGATAAATTTTGCTCTTGTTTGTTATTTACGTATTTTGCGGAATTAGATTTTGTAATTACATACTCCAAAAATTCCTTAATTTAAGTTCGCCATTTTAACCCCATCGCACTTCACCTTCAAGTTTTTTGATAAGCTTTTTCCTTATTTTTATTCAAAGAAAATTGCAAAATTTTCAATATTAGCCTGCACAGTAAAAATTAGGAGAGCTTTGACAAGGAGAAGAAATTATAATGGAAACTTATTAGAAGACGAACATTTTCAGAATAAATAAAAAAAGAAGGTAACAGTAAATAACATTATAAATTACATTAAAGAAACTTACCTCTATGTTGTAAATGCAACTGTCCACTGAATGCAACATTTTAATTATTTCCATTACTTGAATAATAAATACTCCACCATAATAGCATACGCTACTCAATCGAATTATAATCAAACTGAACGACAAGAGCAAATACACCAATTCCCATCCTTCAGCCCTTCCAGTCAACATGTAATAAACTTGTATTAGAATGTAGTAGAGATTCGCAGAAAAAGATATTAGAAGTAGTGCTGAAAGTTTCTTCTTTATTATTAAAAACAAGTGTGTTAGCTTAGCATATTGTTCTCTGGCATGCCTCCATACGTATATATTTGCCTCCTGCAATAAAATATTGTTTTACAAGAAAGGTGTTGAAAGTATCATCCCCATTGTTTTTTGTAATTAATAAAATAATGAAATATTAATTTCCTGTAATTTTAAAGATATTAGAATTCGGGATTTTAAATACAATGTCGATCCATTGTCTCCAATTAGTATTTAAGGTATATCTTTAATGATATTTGATGTTAGTATTTAACTCGGTATTTAATGACGTGTACACACCAAAAAAGCATTGGCAAAAACGATTCCAAACTTTAATAAAAACTTGTAAATGTTTGTTAAACTTTTGTTTGCAAACTAATTTGAACAAGTTTATCGATTTCCCGACTGAATTTTTGAGTCATGTTGCATTCTGTGTATTGTGAAAAGTAGAAAAATGCTCTTTCTTAAAATGAAAAACAAAGTTTCGGTTGTTTTTTCGGTTAACCGTGAAAATGTGCATTTATAGGCCAGTCAAATAAGATGTATTAGAGGGGTAACTTGGAAAAAAGTGCTGGAAAGCTAATTATTGAATTGATTGGTTCATTTGACGGGAAAGAGCCGCTCGACTCAGAAGGCCCAAAAGATGGTAAAATTCTTGGACTTTTTTCGATTCTCGCCTATAGTTCCGAAACGGTGCGTTCTAGTGAATATTTCGCTGTTAGGCAAAATAAAGAGAATTAAATTATCTGGTAGATTTATTCAATTCGTTTCAGTAGTATAGTTAAATTCAAAGTTGAAGAATGGTGATATTTAGCTAATTTGATCAAAAATGCATTAAACGGACATTCAGTCGTCCGTCAAATGGAATACGTCGTTCTAAATTTAAAAAAATACAATGAAAGTTATAGAGCATCAAATTGCGGGTTTAACGTATATATGTTAACATGAAAATATTCCGGAAATTACCACAGTGCCCAAGAAAGGTATATCCCCATTCCTTGCACCTCTGTATGAAATTACTTAAAAGTGGTATTATCGATAGATATTAATTGAGACATAGTGTTTCCATTCTGTTGAAAACCTGGCCTTCAAGGTTTTTTCCTTCAATTATTGGTGCTGAACTGGGAGATGACAAAGATATGGGCTTTCTTGTATTTGACTCGTAAGTGATCTGGTTGCGAAAGCGGCGAGAAGCCTCCGGACTTGTGGTAATTGCTACTAAACGATATTGTTCAAAAACATGGGTTATAAAATTAAAAAAAAAACTGGTATCAAAAATCTATAGTAACAGATGACCGCCAACTTATCTTCTGAAGGATTCTGGTGGCTTGACGACGATGTTTCTAGCGAAGTAGCATCGGCCACAAATCCGGTGGCTTTTCGCCAGTTCCGCCACCAGATCGCTGACAACTTACAAGACTAACACGACAAAGCACGTTTTTATCATCTCTCAGTTACGTTACAATTATTCCATACAGCGTTGGACGGAATGCGAGGTAGGTACCTCTCTTGGGCATTGAAGAGCATAAATATGGCAAGTTTGGGAATATTTTCATTTTGATATTTTCTCTTTTCTTTTCAATACTTGATAAAATTTAAAGTTAAACCTTCAATTTGACCCTTTATAACTTTAGTTGCATTTTTTCTAATTACCTAGAATGATTTCCATGTTTTCCATGTGATGAACAATTCAATGTCACTTTAATGCATTTTCAGCAAAGTGGATAAATTCACCATCCAACTTTTGATTTTCATCCGTACTACAGAACCGAATTGAATAAATGAGGAGCAGACTTTTTTAAAAAACGTCTATGCCTCTGTGGCGGATTCATCTCTCCAAAAAAAAAGTCCTGTGGGTATTTCGCCACTATAATATATTAGGCAAATCTGTTTATTAGTAAGCCACTGCTGACAATTATTAGTTTCAGTTGGATTAACGCAGCAGTGTTTACAAAAAATAACTATTTTATTTCATAGATTGTCTTACAGTGGCGAAATACCTATGGGACTTTTTGGATGAGACTTTCTAGATGCATTTTGTCCATTTTTTTAGAATTTTGGCAGGCAAAGAAAAAATGCTACGCTTTTTGAAAGAACCTTACCGAAAAACTGGTATACTTGAAAAATGGATAAAAAATCATAAAAATAGTACCTATATGTGAAAAATCTAGTTTTGATGATATCTGAAAAAATTGAAAAAAAAAACTGTTGACTGTCCTTTAGACGTAAAATTTATTTTTATGTTTCTGCTACCACGGTCCGTATCCCCAAATACATGGTCCCCAAGCGTAATCCCATTCATTATTTTAAGTAGTATTATTTCGAGGTTGGTCAAAGAATGCCTAGAGAAGCTCAACAAGTTGGGCAAAGAAAATAAAGTCCTCCTACGCTGGGTGCCTGCTCACCAAGGGATAGAAGGCAATGAAAAAGCAAATGATCTAGCTGGGAAAGGAGAAAACACTCCACTAACTGAACCAGAACCGTTCTGTTTTCCAAGCGGAAACCAACTGAAAGCGGAACTGAAGAATCTGGAAGACTCCAACCGTAACTTGGAATGGGTGTCCTCCAACGGTCTAAGACACTCGAAAAAGTTCCTCAGAACTTACGACCGAGAAAAATCAAAGGTTTTCCTTGATTTAAGTAAAAACAATCTTCGGATTGTCACGGGGTTTCTAACATGACACTGTCTCCTCAACGAATACCTCAGTAGGCTGAAGCTGAGAAACAACGGCGAATGCAGATTCTGTGCGGAATATGGGGAAACACCTGAACACCTCACCACTGAGTGCGCCGAGAGGACGACCATTCGTGCCATGAACTTTGGTACGGCTGATCTCAAGGATGGGAAGCTAGCCTCTGTGGAGCCGTCTCAGATACTGGCTTTTGTTAAAGCCTTGAGACTGTATGATGAGTTATAACTCGTTATAACTCAAGAAAGGGAACACACAATAGATCTTTAAGGTCGCGGTGATTAACTCCCCTCCTAAACATTGTAACGTTTTTAGTTCGTTACATGTCTTTTTTATATATGATATATATGATGTCTGGCGTATCGTCATCGGACTCCATATCGTTCAGGCCTGATAATTTATTTTGCACGCTTGGCGTAATTTTTACGTTCCCTAGTCGCCAACCCTGTTATCGTTTGACACAACCCTGTTATCGCTCTGAGGAGGCGCTGTCAACATCGCTTCTGTCAACTCTCTCCGTGCTTAACCTCACTTTGTTTTGCCGCTCTGTTGTATCCCGGCTTTTAGAAATGGTAATAATTTAAATCTTGCTGCAAAATCTGAATCAGCTGCCATTTCGAAGCAACAGGTAAAGATGAGGTATTATCTTTATTAGATTCGTTATTATCAGTATCTTAGTGAAGCTTTTGGTAGGGAGGACCATGTCATGTTGTTCGTAGACCCACGCAGTGCTAAAGAAAGAACGACTCTGACCAGTTCAGCTGTAAAAGGGATGATGGACCTGTACAAACATACGAATCTAATTATTATAGGGGCATGTCAAAGTATGACATCATATAAACAAAAACAGGCTGTCTATGAGTATAACCTCCTTATTAAAAAGAGCATACATGCTGTGGAACGTGGTGGAATTTTTGTATCGCTTGATCAGTTTACACCAGATGACATGTTTTCTTTACGGAGGCAGCAAGCAGACTACATGATTAAAAAGAATTTGGCAAATTTTATATATAAAGAATATCTAGAGCATACTGAGGAAATGCCACAGGCCAAATTATCCTTCGAAGAACGACTGAAGAAGCTTCTGGGAGGTAAACAGGATAATTGGCGTCCTAAAATTACAACTTTTCCGGAGACATTTCCGCTGCCGTCTGATGCCTTAAGGGGGACCAACTCTGCCTGCAGTTCATTTAGATAGCCCACTACCAACCGACATACAACAAAAAATTTTCGGAAACGCTACCCCAGAATAGAACTACAAACCAATTAAGTAACCTGAACCTACACATTTACTACCAAAATGTACGTGGCTTACGAACTAAAACCGATGTACTCTATACTAGTATAATCGCCGATGATTATGATGTTGTCCTGTTAACTGAAACGTGGTTGACTGATGGTTTTCGTGACTCAGAACTCTTTGATGACCGGTATATAGTAATGCGCAGAGATCGAGAGAACGGCAATTCAGATAGAAGAGGTGGAGGGGTTTTAATTGCTACCAATAAAAATATCCGCACTCAACTGATTAGTTCACAAAGTTTTGGTGCCAGTGATTTTCTTTTTAATACTATGTAAGTTCAATAACTATGTATTTACGTGTGCTGTCTATATGCCCCGCCAAATTCCGATATCGCAACTTACACTTCTATTTTTGATTATCTGGATTCCATATTGAAAGATGGTGATCCTATATTATTATTAGCGGGCGATTCAATCTACCTTTTTTTCCTGCTGTTATGTGTGACATAAGTTCGTCCCTGATGCATTTCTTATGTTTTAATAATTTAGTTCAAGTGAATAGTGTTTATAACTTTCTCGGTCGTAGGTTAGATCTAGTGATAAGTAATATAAATAATTTAGTCGTACAAAAATGTGTATCTTCATTGATTGTGGAGGACAATTATCATCCATCATTACCATTGATTTTAGTGTCAAAACAACTGATGTTAAAAAGATAAATTCTGTCTATACATATGACTATAGTAAAGGCAACTACTTGCTATTGCATAGTATGATGAGGGATGTTAATTGGGACTCCCTCTTAAACATATCTAATCCTAATGATTGTATGTCTGAATTATATTGTAAACTTTATAATGTTCTCGATAAAACAATTCCAAAGAAAATATCCTCTAAAAGCTTCCACAAACGAAAATTTCCGCATTGGTTTTCTAAAGATCTTATAAAAAAGATAAATATTAAAAACAAAATGCACAGAAGAAATAAATTTTCTATTGAATTCCGAGATCTCAGGACCAGTATTAAAGCTCAAACAAAGGTTGAATTTCGGGAATATCATAAAAACATTGAACACAATGCGTCACTCGATCCGAGTGGGTTTTGGAAGTTTATAAAGTCTAAATCGCAGGGCAACGGGGTACCTGAACATATTATTCACAACGATACATCCTACGAGGGAAGTCTGGATATTGCTAACGCTTTTGCAAACTACTTTAAAGGAGTTTATGAACCGTCTGAAATCGATGTCTATTCGGATTTCGGTGATTTCTGGGGCAATTTTGACTTCGTTGAAATAACAAATGACATGACTCTAGCAGCTATAAAGAAATTAAAATCGAAAAAGTCCGTTAGCACTGACAATATCCCTTCTTATATTTTTAAAGGATGTGCCGAAATACTAGCAAAGCCTTTGACTCATTTATTCAATTGCGCTCTTAATACGGGAGTATTTCCCGATACATTAAAAAAATCAATAGTGGTTCCAATTTACAAAAAAGGCGGAATTGATAAAATTCAAAATTACAGACCTATTAATCTACTTAGTCCACTTGCTAAAGTTTTTGAAATCATACTGCATGAGAATTTGCAACTTTTAATCAATGAACACATTGTGAAAGAACAGCATGGATTCCTTAAAGATAGATCAACTATTTCTAATTTAAGCGTTTTCACAAATTCAGCATCCCTTGCGATTGATAATAAGCAGCAATTAGATGTCATCTATACCGATGCTGAAAAAGCATTCGACAAAGTAAGCCACAAACTACTACTTAACAAACTTATACATTTTGGTTTTTTCCAAAAAAGGCTTTCGAGCTGCTCAAAAGCTATCTGACAGATCGGACCTGTACTGTTAGAATAGGCAACGAAACATCGGACGCATTTACTGTCACTCAGGAGTTCCACAAGGGAGCAACATTTCGCCATTGCTGTTTATTCTTTTTGTGAATGATCTTCCGGAATGCATAATGCACTCCGAGTGTCTTTTGTTTGCGGACGATTTCAAGATTTACAAAAATGTTGCCTCCGAGAGTGACTGTATTGATCTTCAGAGTGATTTGACAAATGTTATGACTTGGTTTACAAACAATAAAATGTTTCTTAACATCGAAAAATGTTCATTTGTGAGCTTTACACGTAAATCAACCAGGATAAATTTTGAATATCGTATACATAGTGAAACTCTGACTGAAAGTAGGGCTATCAAAGATCTGGGTATAACGTTTGAATCTAACTTAAGGTTTAATCTACACTATCGAAACATGGTTAATAAAGCATATCAAATGCTGGGTTTTCTCATTAGAAACTCTAAGCATTTCAAACAAATTAGTACGTTGTCTAAACTGTACAATTGCTTAGTCAGGCCTCACTTAGAATATGCATCAATTATATGGACTCCTACAGCGGAATGCAATCGCGATCTGATTGAGAAAATCCAAAAAAAATTTCTAAGATATCTATATTTTAAACAAAATGGTGTTTATCCAGTTTTCCCTCTGCTGGTATCATATAAAAACATGTTAAGCTCATTCAACTTCCAGGATCTACACGCCCGAAGAATCGTACAATGTTTAATAATATTATATAACATAATAAATAATTATAAACTCAATAATTCAGATCTAATAAATAATATCAAATTTCATGTCCCAAAAATCAGCCTACGTCGCACAACAAATTCAAATAAAACATTTAATATATATACGGTCAGTTCTTATATGTGCCACATCCTGGACGAATGTAATGCAGTGTTAAGTCAGTTTAATATAGATATTTTCCATGCAAATGTAAAAGAAATAAATAAGATCCTAAATCATACCTCCTTCACCACAGTGAAATGATATTATACCTGCACATTTTTGTTTTTTTTTACTTTGATTATTTTAGTTTCAATTCAACAATTTTTTTTTATATTTATTGCATTCATTGTATGTACAGTAGTTTTAGTTTTGTTAAGTTAATTTATTTAGATTTAAGTCCCTTACCTGTAACAACTATTCTTTTGGTGTTTGTAAGGAGTAGTTTAAAATAAAAAATAAAAAAAAATAAAATTATTATTGAATATTTTTAGGGCAGAGTTTTGGATTGACCCACCTTAACTCGTATTTGTATTTTGCTGGCACATTGGTGTTCTTTTGCTTTTGTCCTCCAAAATGTTACATTGAAGAAAGGACAGTTTCTTTGTTTATTATTGAGCCCTCGGAAGTATTTCGAGGTAGGTTTATTTTGTTTATCAGACCTTGTTTTTGTTTTAAACAAGAGTTTCGTATTTTTAGGGTCCAAGGTACGGATTATTTACAAGGTACGGGCATTATCCAAGGTCCTAGTAGTATTCAAGGTACGGGTAGTGTTCCCCTGTACCGTTGTCTTATGGACGTACATTATCTTATGGACGTACATTGTCTTATGGACGGACTGTGTCCAAGGTACGGGTAGTGTTCCCCTGTACCGTTATCTTATGGACGGACTGTGTCCAAGGTTATAGTCCTCTCTATATTAGAACTCTACAATGTCATGTACCAGCAAAGAACATCATGAATAAATATAGTCATTAGTTTTAAGTAATATACAACTGTGTTTTCTTTCTCTGTACATGCCTGGCGCCCAATATCTGTATTTTTTTGTTTATTGTTATTGATTAGTTTTCTCTCTAGTGAAATACCTTACCCACGACTGCTCTCCGATGAAAAGCTGCCGTTCGCAGTGGTAATGTTTATAAAAAAACGCTACAACATTCTACATTCTACAAGTAATATTATTAAAAAAATCGAGAAGTGGTACTAAAAAAAATTCTCCATTTGGCAATGACAAACAAACAGCAGTAGGTATGTCCACAGCACACAAGGACATACTTCTACGTTTGTTTGTTTACCGCTAATGGACATACAGCACATAGAAAGTCTAAGGTATTTAGTTTGCAATGTCGATCAGATATCGAAGACCAGTTCGAGAGCTAGTGATTGGTTTCACGCGAACAAATTAGTGTTAAATACAGAAAAAAACAAGCAAATAATATTATCTATGAGAGACACTCACGTTGCAAGGGAACAGGTAAAATTCCTCGGGGTTTGTCTGGATCCGAGGCTTCATCGGGGCGGGCATGTTGACGGGGTTTGTGAGAGACTGTGCAGCGGCCTTTTCCTTCTGCGAAATTTAGCTAATAATGTGTCGCAAAACACAATGAATTTCACATGCCATCCAAGTATGAGGTCACTCAGCTGACACCCACAGGGTTTTTAGATTACAGAGGAGGGCCGTAAGACTGCTGGCCGGTCTTGGGTACAGAGAGGAATGTCAGACCGCTTTCCGGGTTCTGGGAATTTTGACATTGCCATCTTTTATTTATCGCAACCTACTAGATTTAAGGAATAACATAGACTCATGCACAACTCACAGCGAAGTTCATGACCATAATACACGAGAATAATATTGTAACAGACTACTGGCGTCTAAGAAGGTGTCAGGATGGTCCGGGGTAGTGGTCTGTCAAATTTTGTAATAAACTGCATGAATGTTTTATGAATTTATCAAACAAGGATTTCAAAATTAAATTGAGGACATTTAATTGAAAATGCATTCTACTCGCAAGACGAGTATCTTCCTTTCAATTTATCTGGCTAAGATATCTTTTAATGAGATCGTGCTTTGTGAATGTTAATGTGTATTTTTTTAATGTGTATTACATATTTATTTAATTTTACTTTGTAACCTGCAAAGCTTGATAACATTGACGATTGTAAACCTTAATGGTAATTTAACATGAATAAAGAATTTTGGTTATTGAATGTCACCTTTAGTAAACATCTTAAAAAATGGAAAAATGCATTTAGTAAGTCTGCTTCTAAATGTATACTCATTCGATAGAGAGTCTAGTTCTCTTTAGATTACGTAATACGAAAATATACGCTTGAACGCAACGTTTCGGAACTATAGGCGAAAATCTGAAAAAAGTACAAGAATTTTACCTTTTTGGGCCTCCTGGGTCGAGCGGCGGTCGACCAACCGTGCAAACCTAGGAAACTTCTATTTCACGTCCAATAAACCAATCAAATCAATAATTAGGTGTCCAACACTTTTTCCCAAGTGATCTCTCTAATTTGATTCGCTTAAAGATTGATTGGGCTATAAGAAAAAGAAACATAAAATGTGGATATCTAAATCAAATTTTTAAAAACGAGAGCTTTTTTTTAAACTTTACCAATAAACGGAGTTCGTTAAAACATACTCAAACTTTTTGAAGTACAGACATCTAGCGGAATCCTGGCAAACATTTGCAAAGGCTTGCCCGTGTCTTCGTTTACCTGCATCGCGCAAAATGTATAAAACCGACAATAAACTTTTATAAGAATTTTGCCAAATTAAAAATACCTGTTAAAAATTACCTTCATCTGTACTAAATGTTTGACTCTCTCATTTAATTGGTTCAATTTATAAGAAAACGATATCGATACAGCAACTATAAACACATCTGTATAAGACCACATAAAAGTCCTTTGCCAGTTCAAAATCTGAAAGCAAAAGTAAAAATTTAGAGTTGTTATATCAAAAATAAACGTAATGAAATGCTATCAAAATTTTATTTAAAATAACAAAGGAAATCTTATATTTACTTAAAAAGGTTTGTTAACCTTAGTCAATTGATACGAAATCGTTAAAGATATTTTAGAAAAATAGTAAAATAGCTTTATCAAGTGCAACTTTATATTCTCTAATGCTTCCATATATCAAGGATATTGGGCGAGCTTCTTACATATCCTGTTAGGTTCAAGCGTTCTTTACTAGCCATAATTTTCTTTTATTTTTCAGTTTTACCGAAAGTTTTCATAATTTACATATCTATGTCAATGTAAAATAACATGGTTTGGAGAACTTAAAATATTTATTTGTTCGCATAAGAAAAAGCCGAAATTAACCGAATTTTATGAACGAGATATTCTAAAATTTCAATAACAATATATAATTGAATTCCTAATCACTACATTTGAAGCAATGCAATAATTGTGTATTCATAAAAACTTATTAAGGAGTTCATTAAATCATTTTCATCTGAAAAAATAAATACTATTTTCTATTGCAATTTAGATACATACAGACAGATGCGTAGTTGCATAGTTGCATAGTAGATGCATACCCTCATATGCCGCGGAGGCTCCAAGAGAACGACAGTTTGTATTGAAATAAAATGTTGTAAGCGTATGTAGGTAAATTCAGAGTACTTTTAAAAATATAGAGCGTTCTACAGGGTATCCCCAAAAAAAGTTACATATCAAAGTTGTGTTTTTTGTAATGGAACACCCTAGGGTGTCCTAGAATAGAAATAAGTGCAAGTATTTTAACTGGTAGTATAGTTCAACCCCAGAAACACGCCTATCAGTTTTTTTTTTGCGAAAAAATTTTTTTAAAAATTCGAAATTTTTTGAAAAAAGTTTAGGAAATTTTTTTAGTTTTTAGTTAAAAACATAATTTCTTGATAATATGGCAACATAGGTATTAGATTAAATTTGCAAGAAAGAAAATCCAGAAAAGATCCAGTGGTTCTCAAAATTTTAGCAAAAAATATTTTTTTTTGGAAATTTTCAAAGTAAAATAATTTGGACTTATTTGAAAAACGATAAAGAGAAAATATGTTTCTTTTATCGAGATCTACCACCCCTTAAAATATTTGCACTTATTTCTGGGACACCCTGTATATTAAATGATTTTTGGCTTCTGGGAGAAAAATAAAGGTGAGTTTTATAAGAGAATATGACTAAAATGTAAGGTTTTTGACATATTTAACATTTTCTAGAAATAAAGAACAATTTTTAAATTACAATAAAAGCTACCTAAATTGGAATTTACCCGGTATAGCCTAATATGTAATTTAAATCAACTATTGTACTTAAAAACAAATTAAAACTTGATACAAGTTATACAGGGTGAGACAAAATTAATATTGAACATTGGTCACCTTTAAAAGCATGGTACTCTTTTATTTTAAATAGAACACCCAGTATATTATTCCGATATTCAATGGAGAATTCATGTCACTTCCAAATACTATATATAATACTAAGGTTGCTTACCCCCCAAACAAAGATTTTCCTAGATATTTTCATTTACATGATTTGATCTGAGTAGATCTCTATTATTTGATAAAATCTAGGTGGTTGTGATATGGTTTATTATATGGTAACATTACTTAAACATAGATGTCTAATTAGTCCAACATTAACAACTGCTTTTCATTTTGTGTCAGTTAAAACAAAAAAAAATTCTCAGAAATTTACCGAAAATGCAAACTTATCCTACATCAGAAAGAATCGAAATGATTCTGTTAGTAACACTGCATTCACCAATTAATAGAATACTTAAATGCTCCTAATTTTATCTAGTCTGGGCTTTTTTATGGGAATATGTTAAAGACAGCGTTTACAAAACTCGACCAACTATAGTCGACAACATGAGAGAAACTATTGTAGCTGCTTTTCAAGGTAGAACTCAACATAAATATACCTTTTAAAATGAAAAGATACTTTTGAAAAGACAATCATTTTATGCAGTTAACAGGAAAGGAAGCATTTTGAGCATTTGATTTCATCTAGCTAATTTTTGTCACATAATTATAGGTTTATATCTAGTTTTAATACTGTAATAATTAAAATATTGTTGCGAGCCGGTGTGGACTCGACCTAACCTCACAATATGGCCCGCCCTCGGATGACCTTAACATCGCATAGACACCGCAATGATTCATTCGTTCGAGAAGAATCGAGACCCACTAGAATGGACTCGTACATACGAGAACATTCGAAAACCTTCTCTATGCGCCTAACGATTTTGGACTATTCTAGATTTCTTTTACCTGTCGGTATAAAAGCCGGCGGCAGTGGCCTAGAGAGGGCAGTTATAAATATACAGTTGACGCGCTAAAATTCAAAATAAATTCTTAGTTATAAATCGTTTGTAAATAGTTCTATAAGTCTTTTATCGTTATTGTTTTTGTTAATTAGTGTTAAATAAATAGTGTTTAAATAAATTGTGACTTTCTATCCACACGGAACCGACGAAAAACGTAACAATTGGTGTCAAGTGTGGCGTGTGTGATAGACAAGAAAAATAAAAAGACTGACCATGGCTCTGAAAAAATTGTTGAAAGACTTGAAAGTGTCCGAACTGAAATGTATATTGGAAGAGAGAGAGTGCGAGACAGATGGAAAGAAAAGCATTTTGCAAGCTAGACTGAGAGACGTTTTGGTGGAGGAAGGTGAGGATCCTGACACATTTTGCTTTGAGTTGGAAGGTGACCTTGACTCGTGCCTACACAAATTAGACGACAACTTGAACAATTTGAATAGTAAAATGATTAACTTGGAAGAGAGTTTGAATGATAAAATGACAGAGAATTCTCAAAAAATTAGACGACAACTTGAACAATTTGAATAGTAAAATAATTGACTTGGAAGTTAATTTAGAAGAGAAAATCAGTGATAAAATTATGGAAAATTCCCAGGATTTAATCAATACATTAGAAGATAAGATCATCGAAAATTCTAAAGATATACAGGCCAGCTTAAATAATAAAATACTTAATTTAGAAGAAAAGATAACAGAAATCCAGGAATCTTCCAGGGAATTAGAAGAAAAGATTATAGATAATTCTACAGAACTGCAAGACAAAATAACACAAATTGAGAACGATGTAAATAAAAAAATCGAAATTTTAAAACAAGAAATAGAAAAGGCCAATTCACCAAAATGTCAAGAAACATCGGAGGCACCGAAACTAGTCGAAAATAAGTATATCTCAAAGTCAGTTATTAAGCCTCCACAGTTTGACGGAAAGACCGCTTGGGCCAATTATTTTTGCCAGTTTGAGGCCGTTGCGAGAGCGAACGGATGGACAATCGCTGAAAAGGCTACCGCTTTGACTGTCGCACTGCGAGGAGATGCGACTGATATTCTGCAGACATTGTCACCATCGGAACAGGGAGATTATCAGCAATTGGTACGACATTTAGAAATGAGGTACGGCCAAGCTCATTTGGAACATGTCATTCCCAGCTAAAAAATCGCATTCAAAAGTCAAATGAGTCTCTGCAGGAGTTTGAAGCCGACGTAGCCCGCCTCGTTCGCCTTGCGTACCCTGCTACGCCAGAGAATGTTATGGAGCGGTTGGCAGTACAGGCATTCTCCGACGACTTACGTGACAACGAGACAAGACAAGCACTTCTCCTAGCCCACCCAACGCACTTGGTGGATGCTTTAGCACGTGCCCTAGAATTTGAGGCCGCGAAACAAAGTTCTCGGTCTTTAGGAAGAGTACGGGCCATCGACGAATGTTCTGACGAATCCGTGGAAGGGATTATTCGGAAGATAATGGACCAGTACATGGGCAAGAAGGGACCGATCGTTGCTGGAACTGCGGACAGGTAGGACACGTGCGAAGCCGTTGTAAGGAGAAGAACGAAGAACCGGCTCCGTCGAGGTCGGAAAACTACTAAGGGTCGAAATGAAGGGGCACACGTCGACCTGTACCCAACATGCCCCAACGAAAACTGCTCAAGTCGCCTCGCTACAACACAAATTCAACAGCATTTTTGTGGATGGTTTTGTTGATGGAGAGTTCCGGACCATGCTGTTGGACACAGGTGCGACGAAAACTATCATCAGACCGGACATTCTTAAAACATCGAAGAAGGTTAAAACAACACAATGGCGACTACGTACTGCTACGGGGGGCTCCGCTGCTGTCCATGGAGAGGTAGATCTTAATTTTGTTATCGGAAGCACCTGTTTTAATCATCGAGTGTTAGTAGCAGACATCGAAGATGAACTTATTCTCGGAATGGACATCATGACCACTAGAGGTTTTGAGCTAAACCTCAAACAAGGAATTTTGAAAATAAATGAAGAAGAAGTGGTTCTGCATCGAAAATGTGAGGAGACGCTTCGCGTGGTGGTAGCAGAAGATGTTTCGATCCCTGAGCGCTGTGAGATATTTTTGGATGGTTGCCTAGAAGGTAAAATGAATAATGGGAGTATTATTCTGTTGGAGCCAAGGAACCATGACAGCGAAATAGGACGAGGGATCGCTGTTGGAAAAGCCCTGCTACGAGCGAAGAAAACTGTACCGGTGAGAGTAATGAACACGAATTATTATTCTGTATCCTTGAAGAAGGGAACCCTCTTAGGGTACTGTTGTTCGGTCTCCTCAGTCGTTCGAAGCGTGGAAGCCTCCAAAGTTTCGACTTCAAAAATTCCGGACAAAATGGTGAAGGAGTTAGTAAACGTTAAGGGATTATCTCCCGAAAATAGTAGAAAATTGAGAAACCTGATAATCAAGTATCAAGATGTGTTTGATAAAGGAGAAGCAGGACAGAGAGGTCGTACCAATTTAGTACAACATAAAATTGATACAGGAGATGCGCGACCAATCAAACAAAATCCGAGAAGACTTCCGCTCGCCAAACGTGAAGAAGCTGATAAAATCCTTCGAGAAATGAAAGAAGAAGATGTCATCGAACCATCTAACAGCCCGTGGACATCGCCGGTAGTACTAGTAAAGAAGAAAGACGGTACCACCAGATTCTGTGTTGATTATCGGCAGCTCAATAATGTTACCAAGAAGGATAGTTATCCCCTGCCGAGGATAGACGATACTCTAGACACGCTGGCGGGGTTAACGATATTCTCTACGTTAGATCTGAAAAGTGGATATTGGCAAGTCGACATGGCGCCGAAAGATAGAGAGAAGACAGCGTTCTCGGTGGGCTCCGGACTGTGGCAATTTACCGTCATGCCTTT